TTTGGACGACATTGGACATCTTGGTACCTAAAATATCCTTACACGCTAGGAGAAATTTGTTTCCAGAAACAATTATTAAGTACCCATATATCCACAAGATCACAAGGTTGTACATCGCTGTGTGGATTTAAACTTAAATTTTATTTGACGGGAATTGAGGTTAAACCAAGAAATTTTCAACTCAGTCTAGTTTTAACCTATTTCTAGATTTATTCCATTTTTAAATGGAATAATTTTAGTGGACGGAGGGGAAGGGGCAGAAACAGAGGGGGAATGGGAGGAAACGAAGGGGGAATGGGGAGAAAACGGCGGGGGAAGGAAGGAACCCTGCTGAAAACGGCAGGATCGAATCTGCCACCTACTTGTTAGGGTTAGGGTTAGGGTTTTTTGTATAAAAAAAATTAATTAATTAATTAATTAATTTTTTTTTTCAAATTTGGACCGATCACGTGCAGAAACATGTTTGGTAAGTTGCTATATCAAGTTAGGTGGCCGATAGGGTGCAATGGAAGCAAATTAGGTATAAAATTGGGATTAATAAAAAATAAACGAAAGTTGAAATTAATTATGGCCCGGAGCAAAGTTGGGATTGATCCTACTAATTGATCCTTTAATAATAGGTTTTGCTTGCTTTTTTTTTTATATATATATATATATATATATATATATATATATATATAAAACACAATAAAATTGGTATTCTAATTAGTACTCCCTCTGTGTTTAAATAATGCTACTGTGTTTCATTTGCGGCCGATTGACCATGTTTAAATAAATAAAACTTTTCCTTTTTTTAGTGTAACTCTCTATATTTTTTTAATAATATTCTTTCTACTTTATTTTTAATAATATTCTACTACACAATAACTAATGGTCATCATAAAAAACCCCACTATTTATTACTACCTCCGTTTTTTTAACTTGACATCTTTCTATTATCACGCTTGCCGACGCATGTTTTTAACACTAAATATCTCAAATTATCAATGTCGTAAAATTATAAAAAAGGGGATATTAATAAAATATATATCAAGACGATTCAAACAAGATCTCACATGACTATATTTTATCGTATCTATAAATCACAAAAGGGAGTCAAAATGTAGTGTGTGAATACTGAATAGTGTAAAAATCAAAAGGTGTCAACTAAAAAACCGGAGGTAGTATTTTAATTTCAACCATTCGTGAAAGTTAAAACACTTCATTTATTTATACACAAAAGGAGTATATTTTTTTTTATATATATAATAATCTATTACACGGCGTATAATTTAAGAGTTTTATTTTTCAACGGTCAACCACAAAACTCCAAACCTCCAATTAATTAATAACTGTCTATTATATAAAGAGGATTCATACCTTTGTATTACTTACATTTTTTAATAAATCAAAATATTCAAAAATTCATCGCAATGAGTAAATATCCTGTGTAATAACACTAGTACGTTCTAGTTAAGCATAATACAAAATCCAATCTATATAACTAATACTAAAGTAGCAACCGTCGAAGTCATTTTTTTAAAAAATTGTACACGTGGCGCTATTTCATGAAAAGATTTCCCTTTCAGAAGCTATTTTTTTTAAAAAACAAAATATTAATTAAGTTTAAATAGGTAATAGCTACTCCGTATTATTTAGGTAATTGATTTATATAATACATACCTATTATTTTGGTAATTTATGTAGATATTAGGTTCTTGGAGTCATTATAATAGTTGTTAGCATAGTTGAGGTCAATTTAAGTGAACTTATGAACATTTTGAACTAAAAAAAAAATGAAAACAAAATTTAGAAAAATCGAAAGATAAATTACTGTGAAATCTGTGCATCGCACGGGTGCTAACCTAGTGATTAATACTTCCTCTGTCCCCTTTTGATAGTCCCTTATGGACAAATTTTAGTCCCAAAATGTTCACCCCATTTGTTTTTTCTAACAACCATTAATATTAATTTTTTACCAAAATTCCCTCCAATTTGCAACAATATTTGTGCAAATTTAACTTTCCCATGTAAATTTTGTTTTCCCAAATACTTTTATTACTTTCTTTTTCTACTTTTTTGCATACCCAATGTCAATTTACTTTTTAAATGTATTTTAACTATTCTTATTTGTGTTTATTAATTCCCGTAAAAAATGCGCATAAGGGATTATCAAAAGGGAACGAAGGGAGTAAAATATATCCAATTTATTTAGGTTGAATAAACAGTATAAAAATATAAATCATTGTAAAATATCATAATCAAAATAAACCCGAATCTACATGGATTAAATCCCTATACCCCGTCTGATTTTTGCACACCTTTACCTACAAGTACAATGTCTATGACACATTAGAAAATCCTATGGAGGATAAACGAGATAGGGAGTACATTACACGGGTAAGATTCATCCAGAGCAAATATAGCAAAATCTGGTTCACTACAAATCAGCTACTATTCCTGTTCTTTCGTAGAATTAATTGCCCCCTTTAAAAAAAATAAAAAATAAAAAAAATGGTAGGTAGATTAGATTCCAGGAGTATATCGTAAATTAGGACAGTATTGAGAATGATCCGTACAATCTAGTCAAACTCATTACCACTCACTCTCTTTCTTGGGACTCCCGCGAATCTGGAATTTTCAGTCTTCTACTTTACTATTTGCACTCGGTTTTCCACTTTATTTACTGATATACCCCTTGCTGAAGTCACTCAAGTACTCCCTCCCTTTCAGTTTCAGGTGGGCCTACTTCTACTATCTAATTCTTGATTATCTGTACTTGTTTCTTTTCTTCATTCACTGCTTTCCACGTGTCTGCTCTCATTATCATTAAACCATCTTTTCTTTTTCTTTTTTTTATTAAAAAAACAAAAACTTTTTTTAGATTTTATTTATGTGAAATGAGATCATGGTATGTTATGATCTCATTTTAACATAAATGAATGAGGTATTATTAACATGGTGCATGTGATGTTGCATGTCCATAGATTCTCGGGCCCACTTAGTTTAATCTAAATCCAATGGGCCTTCATTTCGGGCCGCTTTAGTCCACTTTTTGGAAAATTGAAAATTTTGGTTTGTTTCCTAAAATATAAGAGATTTTTGTCATTTGACAACCATCATGCTATTAAAAGAATACTTTGTGTATTAATTTGAAATAAAATAAAGCTATTGTGTTTACAAAATACATTACTCTTTCCTTTTTTTTTTTTTTTTAAATGGCAAGAAATTATATGCTCGTCAATGCACATTTTGTAACTCAAATATTTTAAAGATATAATTTAAAAGCGTATTTCAGACATATTTAACAAGATCCAACACGAGTTTATTTTTCCGACGTATAGCTCCCAAAAGAAGATCAAATGAATGTGTATGAATAATGTAAGTTTTCATACATTGCGTCATTGCAATTAAAAAACGGAGGAAGTATAATACATATAGATAAATTATTTTTTCATTTTTTACTTGTATTGCTTCGTATCATGTGGTCCTTATGTATAGGATCAAAATTACGGTTTTTGCCCATATACTGTATTATGTAACAATAGCACAAGATATTTTTGAATTTTTAGCTTGAAGTTATTAACAGTGCTTGGATAGATTTTTCTGTAAAGTAAATTATTTTGCATCTTCTACATAACTGCACTGTCTCATCACTTTCAATATATTCTCCGTCAATTTACTGTAATGATTAAAGAATCTTAAAAAAAGAAGTGATAAACCACCTAATACTCAAATTTCCTAAATTGAAACCTTGTAATCAAATTACTAGAGGCTTGTTCATTACAGATTAGGGTCTGTTCTTTTTGACTGGACTCAGCTGAACTGAACTGAACTGAACTGAATATTTTATAAGAGAAGGAAATTAGGAGCTGAACTGAACTGAACTGAACTAAACTAAACTGAACTGAGCTGAACATTTCAAGAGAACAGACCCTTAATTTCAGTTTTGTTCAGCTTTAATCAGTTCAGTTCAATTCAACTCCAATCAATTCAATATAATTCAATTCGATTTAACTCCAATCAATTCAGTTCAATTCAACTCCAATCAGTTCAGTTCAGTTCAGCTCCTAATTTCCTTCTCTCATAAAATATTCATTTCAGCTCAGTTCAGTTCAATTCAGCTCTAATCAGTTCAGTTCAATTTAGCTTAATAAATGTGAACATACTCTAACTCATAAACGAACTCGATCAAAATCCAGCTAAAAGTAATGAATAACCTTCTGATCAAACTAATCTATAAATGAACTTGTTTAAATACGGATAAAAGTTTACATATAATCATTGTCAAAAGGTTTCGCCCGGTGACCGGTTTTTTGGGCTCCGGTCAGTACGGTTGCCAAAAAAAAAACACTACCTTTCCGCCAAAGAAGGAAGGAGGTGGGTCGTCTATGAGGGGGATGTGGCGGGTCGCTGGTTAGGGTAGTGGTGGTGGTGGTTGTCGCCGGTCAATGTGGTGGTGGTGTTAGTCGTTAATTGGGTTGGTGATGTCAAGGTATTAGTGATTGGTGGCAAGAGGGAAGATAGTGGTGAAGTACTAAGGGTATGGTTGTTTATTCACACTTAATGTTGGCGGTTTTGATCATTTTGATGGCAGTATTTAACACCCCTATTAAAAAAGTAGTAATCCCGTTATAATCAACACTTGTACAACGATGCTCTCTTAACAATCCATACCAAGTTACCAACCATAATACCATATCTTCTTCTCCATACAAAAGAGGAATATGCCACAACAATAAGAATATTGACATGAATAATCCCAAAAGATTAATACCTTTAGATTATTCAACAATAACCCATATTCTAGAAAAATCTAATAATAGTTGTAAAAAAAAAGTTAGTTTTTCTTTCTTAGTTTCTCTTTGAAAGCAGTCACAAGGAAATAAGTATGCTGTACCAAATATATAGATGAAAAAAATATATTTTTTTGACAGGCAAAGAATAGGATAGATTTGAGATTATTCAGGTCAACTTTTTGCTAATTAACAAGCTAAAGAGTAGAGAATACAAGAGGAAGATTTGAGATGGACTTCACAGCCACATTTATTTTCAGATTTCTGATAGCTCACTTAACAACAGGATTTACGTCATTTTCTGTACACTATGAGCTACAAAGTCTTATACAGTAGATGAAAGATTACAAGAAAGGAGGTAAGAAACCCTAACACAAGTAAAATATGGATCTAGTATTTCGATGTAAAAGAGAAAAGAAACTATCATTCTCCTGAATGTCTAACGATCATATCAGATTATATGACAATTTTTCAAATACATTTGACAAACAAGAGAATCACCAGCTATAAGTTTGCCCGTATTATGAGTTTCAATTCCTCGTGAAGGACACACCCTTGTCAATGCTCACTGCCAGCTCTTTTTTCGCCTTTTCCAAACCAGCCCTATTACATACAATCATGAAAGTTATATTCAGAAAGAAATTTCATAGAAAGATCACAAAACACTAGTACTATATACTTATATTGTCTCAATTCAGCTTCAAATGGTAACCTATAAGTTCATGTACCTTTCATATTCATTTAGAGGGCCAAGTGGGAAAATCTCCTCGGCTCCGCTGCGACCAAGCCTTACTTTTGTTGCAAAGAATGGCAATTCAGTCACCTACAAGTAAGAAATAAATCTTTGTTCTCCCATCAGATGAAATAAGTAGAATTGAAAAGTAGCAGCACATGTTTATATAAAGTAATAAAGTGTGTACGTGCAAGAGAGAATTTAACATGCCTGAGATTCCACAAAAGAGCATTCAATAACACCAGCATCTCCTCTCAAACCTCTAAGGCAGGCATCGGCAAATTTAACAGCAGCATAGGCCTGCAGTTTGAAGAATATACTTCTATCAGTCTTGATTTCATTATAAAAAGAGCAGCCGGGGGCTGGGTGATAATAATCGATCAAAATCCAAAAATCATTAAATACTTAAGTTAGAAAAATACAATAATCACCTACCCCTCCCTTTGTTAAAGTATACATGAAAATCAAATTGAAAATTACTACCTACCATTGAAAGGGTTGCAGATCCAGCCCCAGCTTTTGCCTGCCAAAATAGAAAAATATTCAGAGCCAAAAAATGATCAAGCCCATTGATACTTTAACAGCAAATTCATTCTCAGTTCAAATAGGCCAAATAAAATGAATTCTAAAATCCTATCTTAATCTGGCAACAAATGAAGGCTCCAAGGAAAAACATACAAAGTGGGAGCAAAGGCATAATTTTCATATCCTTCCACTTGCTTATCTATTCACAGCCTAAACTCGCACTAACCAAGTACGGCGTAAATTTTGAAAAACACTAAGCAAGATAAATATTCTGTGTTTTGGAAACGCTAATTAAGACATTAAGACTTCTGCATAGAAGAATGCACCTGTATATCATCAAGTAAATAGAATGGGTCTACAGAAAATAACGTAGGCATCAAAGTAAGTCAGCCACATATAAAATACTACCTCCGTTTCATATTATTTGCAACGATTTGACATACAATGGAGAGGAAAAAATGTCTAATCGTTGCAAATAATATAAACGGCGGTAGTACTAAAATTTCAAACGAAGAGAAATATTGATCAATTGGCCATATCCTCACTTAGAACAATTGAAGGAAAAGACTTTAATTAAAAAGGTGTTGAGAATGATGCATTAACTTTACAGAGTAAAGCAGTGAAAAGGCAAATGATTTCATATATTGTCAGAATCTTGGGTAATTGTTTGAAAAGGAAAAGTTGTTAAGCTCGTGCCATATAAGAACAATCTAAATTGAGGAAAGACCATCTACTTGCTAAAAAAATAAAGATCAAAAGCTTGACAAGCAAACAAGAATATCAGGATTTAGGGACAAGCAAATATTGTTATCAGTCAAATTAAAAATAAATTCTGGGTTGAATAAAAAAACAACCTCAACAACTTCTGTTCCACCATTTTGGATGCGGTCTGTCAGGTAATTGATTTCTTCAGGAGTAAAACTGCATGGAGGCTTAACCTGCATCGAAGAAGAAACTGTAACATTGCACCATTCAGTAAATTAGAATTTCAAAACAGATACACATTCACGTTACAGACCTGGGATAAGAGTGGAAGGATTGTAACACCAGCATGGCCTCCAACCACGGGAACATCTACCTCTCTAGGATCAAGTCCCAAAACTTCTGCCTGTAGAAATATAAATACAAATTCATGGGAGGAGAAAAGTCAGAAACTATAACAGACCACATATAAGATTTGAATTTCATGTTATGATGTATGAGGCCCACCAAGGAGCTCATGCCATAACAGTAAATGCAGTCTTTTACTTTGCAGAGCATGGTGGATTAGAAGAGAGGAACCACAAGTCAAGCATAAATAAGTTGTTGTTACCCCATTGCAGGGAAATGGATTCGTTAACCTCAAATAAAAGATTAAAAAATTTGGTCCAGATGAAAACTTTATGTCACCAGGGATAGTATGCATTGGAAGGAAATAGAGAGAGGTTTTACTGCACTAACAGGGGACCAATTCAGGGATATCATTGCAGCTAGAGTCAGAATTTATGGGGGCACATGTTATGAAGAAGTAATGGTGCTACCACGCTAGTGTTTCATATGCAGTTAGCATAGTTAGGGATGTTGCCACAAAAATTCATATTGGGAGCAGGTAATCTGAATAACTGAATATTCATCCATGGGTTTGTTGATTGGTGACAGTAAACCAATTACTAATTGATTTGTATCAGTAGCTTTCCTTAGGTGGGAAAGAAAGGTACCTCATGTGGAGGCTCATTCTAGCTTTCCTTGGAGAAGAAAACGTAAGGATTATGGACAGAGGACACAACCAAAAACCTCATTTATCTTGTAAGGGGCTAAATGCGATATCACTAATCCACGTTACTGTCATTTGATTTATTGCAAATAAAAAATTCAATGACATAGCCTATTTAAAGTGCAAAGATAAATCGAGTGATCAAGTTTGAGCATGACTTAATTCAAGGATGAGAAAATCAGGATATCATAACAATATTTCATGAAATAGTCACACCCAAAAGCAAACAGCATATAACTTGGATTATATGTTGGAAAGCAAAAAATGAAGACAGAAGTATCTAAAAGTATACTGTATACAAGGAAACAATGAATAATAAGACATACCACAAAAGTGTTGGCCCTGACAACGTCAAGCATTGTGACACCAAGCAAGCGCTTTGGATCGTATATACCGGCCTTCTTGAAAACCTCAGCGGCAATTGGAACTGTAGAATTCACAGGATTACTGATCAAGTTGACAATTGCTCTAGGACAGGATCTAGCAATTCCTTCACAGATTGTCTTAACAATTCCAGCATTGATTTTGAATAAATCATCCCTTGTCATCCCTGGTTTTCTTGGAACCCCAGCTGGAATAATGACAAGGTCCATGCCTGTTAAGGCCTCATCCAATTTGTCTTTCCCCACAAAACCACGCACCTACCAAGTGAAACATGGTAATCAGTTCCAAGAAAATCCGAGCAAGAACCAGTAGAATTGAGGGAAGATGAGCAAGAGTGGGAGGGAAAAAAATTCAAAAAATTTCTTTCCAAGGAATTTTTAACTTATGCGAGTTCTAAATTCATTACATTACATGTCAATTATCTGTAATCTTAACCGACCAAATGAGTAAGAAAATCCTATTCTTCCCCGCTACTGCCATTGCTCCACAACCAATAGCTTATAGTTGGGGTTAACAGTTTGTCAAAGCATTCATCTAACAATAGCAACTCTCAAGTTACATGCAGTTAGATCATTTGATCAACAACTTCACTTTAAGATCATTATACATCAATTATCAAAAACCCAAAAATCCTAACTCCATCATAAACCTACAACTGTGTGCAAGATTCCCTTCTTAAAACACCCACCTTGGTCGCCACATTTTCAATATAGTTACCATCACAAAAGACAATACCCAAACTAATTAAGCCATAAGATTCAATCTTAACTCCGAGCCCCAAGATTCCTTCCCATGTCTACTCCCAACTCCAATCAACCCAATATCAAAATCAAACTGATGATCTTTTCAAATCTACCAATTTTAAAGCATAAATATCTCACTGCATCATTACTACCAACATTAGTGTAACAACAAAATTCTCCTAAGAGCTCTTAAACATCGATCAATGACTTAAATCTTCAATCAAACAAAGAAAATTCAAGCAAAAACAATAACTACAGAAATCAACAACACCTCAATTCTAGCTCAAACAGTCCTAATTACTCAATCCAACAAAAATTTACCAAAAATCAATCAAATTAGCAATAAAAACTAAAATCAGGAGCATACATACCACAGCACCAGTATCCATATGACTGATATCAGCGGTAACACCAAGAGTATTAACGACATCATATAAATGAAGAACAGAAACAAGAGGGTTCATCTTCATCAACATAGAAAGAGGTTGACCAATTCCACCAGCTGCACCAAGAATTGCCACCTTAAATCCAGGTGCTGCTCCTTTTGCCCTGCAATTCATCTTCCCAATGCTCGAATTTCCCTCCATCATCTACCCAACATTCAAAATTCTCTCAAAATCATCGAAATTGAAATTTACAGGAGAAAAAATTAGAGAAAAAAAATATAAAAAAATTACCTGGAAATTTGGGGGATGAAGATGAGCTGCGATTCTGGCAATCCGCTGATTTGCTTCTGATGTGCTCTGCATTTTGGAATTTTGGGGAATTTAGAGATTTGTTGAAGATGAAATTAGGGATTTGAGAGAGGGAAATTGGGGAATTGTGATGAAATTAGAAATTTAAGGAAGGAGGGGCCCTTTTCCTTATCCTGCTAAATAAAACTTCCAAATTGGTTTTGGCCTTCCGTTTAATCTATGGTTGTTAGTTTGTGTTTTTCTGGATTGGTTTTTGATCTGTCGAAATGTGGAATAAATATAAATTTTATCAGTATTGGATTGATAGGAACTTAGGAAGGTTTGTGTTGGAATGTGTATATTTATGATACATATGGTTGTACCTTACTCGTGTTATGCGGATAAAATAAATAGTGTTAGTACTCGTTAATTCTTTGTGTAAGTCGTGACTCATGATTTTGTGAGTGAAGCAAGATGAGAGTTGATGTTGCTTAAAGTCTTAAACTATCTTAGAATTAAACTACTGAATTATTGAATAACAAGACACATTGGTAGTCTAGGGAGTAAGGATTGAAGTCATTGAACTATAGTAAGAAAGCACCAAATCTTAGTTGAACATGTCAATAGCAATTGTTGTGCTATTGTTTTATGATCATAATGTTAGTATTTTTGTCGTTATTATAGTTAGAACCTTCAAATACTCAATATATAACAAGTATTAAAATGTACAAATCTATATTTATTTTAAGTTAGACATTCTAAGGGTTTTTTTTTTTTTTTCTTGTCTTTTTCTTTTGAGATGACTTTTTTATTAAGGGTTTTTTTTTTCTTTTTCTTTTGAGATGATTTTTTTTTTTTTTTTTTTTTGACGGGTTCTGTTGAGATGATTTTGATAACATAGATGTTAAATTTGTTTACCTTGGGCCATTGTTTTTAATTGGGCTTGAAGACTGTGGTGGGCTCTTATGTTTTCATACTTTATACTTACAAAACTACAAGCAAACAATGTACAGGTAATAGTTATGTTGATCCATTATTAATTTCAAATACATTTCCTCCATTTTGTAGTTGTAATAGTTGTAACATATCTATTGTGTATATTATTCGCACATATATGATATATTTTACTTTAATTGCATTTTATGATTTGTTATTGTACTTGGTGAAAAAATAGTCATATGTGATCTTATTAAGTCCATCTAAATATTAATTGTGTTAAAATTTTACTTTATAATTATTACAAAATACATTATTAAAAATATCAACGGTTGAAGTAATGCATTAACAAATGTTAAAAAAAAAATGTCGCAATATTATTAAAAAAAAAAAAAATTGTTACGTAGAGGTTTTTTTTGTAAAATCTGATATTGGCTTCAAGCATTTGAGATATATATATTGGTTGTGTAGTGGTTTTTATAATTAGTATTTAATAGTGGACAATGGTTAGAGCAACTCCAATGGTTGGGAAAAGGGTTGCAAATATTAAAAATTTTAAGCTAGTAGCTACACCATTGTTGCACATCTTGATGATTAGTTTTGGCAAGCAAATTAGCTTTGTAGAGCTAATTAGCTTGGCAAATATTTATTAGATAAAAAAATATTATTAATTTAAAGATAAATTAATTTGCAACTAGCTTAACCATTGGAGCAATAATTAGCTTGAATTGTTGTAGCTTAAGAAGATGATGTGGCATGCCAAGCTATTAAATAAATTAGCCAACAATTGTAGTTGCTCTTATAAGCATTTGATACACGTAGTACTTACATTACCTTAGGAATACAATGATTTGTTCCCTTCGTGATTCCAAACAATCAACACGTTAATTACAAATTTTAGGTGATAAGCCGGTAGTTTTTAGAGGATTGCATGGCTTGACAAACTTATTACACACCCATATCTTTAAACATTTCGCTGTAATACAACACATTCATACGGTCACAGAATTTAGGGCTATGAAAGTCTAACTGGCTAATACAAGAGGGGGGGTGAATTGTATTTGAGGTGAAATCTAAAAACTTTTGCGGAATTTAACTAAATGAAATAATGACGAGAGAAGATATAGGCTTTTCTAAATTTCCACTATGTAATCAAACTCTTTACAAGTGAAGATTCAAACCCGTTAACAAGTTCCACAAACTAGGAACTTGTTCCCAACTCTCACAGAAGCCTTCAGCAACGAAGCTTCCTTGACCTCACTTTACAAACTCACAATCCCAACCCCTAAGTACTTGAATACAATATGTGATTACAAATACCTATTGCACTCAAGAATATAAGAAGGATAATAACTCTCTTTATGTTATTAGAAGGCTACTGGAATTTTTATGCTCAAGAGTTATATCTTTCTGAGATAGTTTGCATGAGTATTTATAGAGAAGGCTTAGTCATTAACCTCCACTATAATCACGTCCACATGCCAACAACCCACTAACAACTTGTGGAGTTATCTTGACAGATGGTAATCATGAAGAGGTTTCCTAGCCTTATCTAATTAGTCCACTATCTTAAACAACTTGATAATCATTAGCCGTATAAAGATTTTCACACAGAAAAACCGCTTGCTATCCTTATCAAATATTTGTTTAAAAAGATTATCAAAAGTTTGTTTAAAAAGATTTTATTTGAAAAGATAAATTTATTATTTATTAAAACAACTAGATAATTATCTTCGATAATTATCTTTATTAAAACTTTTACAAATTATCTTTTCTTTAAGAAATTATCTTTTAAAACTAACTTTTATTCCAGTAGTCTTTTTAACATAAGTCATTGAGTTCCTTTCCGACTTTATAATATTGAGTGCTCACAATTAAAACTAGAACGTGAGATTTGCACGAGGCTTTTTAGAGAATGCTACTCCGCATCCAAGTTCCTACTCCGGAACGAACTTTGCTTGAATCCTTTATTCACCAAAGACTCAAAACATTCATTAGTCGAGTTTGTCAATTTGTCCATCAAAACCAAAAGGCTCAACAAATTCCCCCTTTTTGATGATGACAAACATTGACAAACTTAGGTAAATAAAATCATCCAGGCATGCAACAAAAATTTAAAGTAAGGCATGAAAACAAAAAAAAAACAATTAAAGAACTTAGAAAAAAGTTTTTTTTTTTTTTTTTTTTTTTTTTTTTTTTAAAAAAAAAAAACTGAGCAAAAGAAAAATTAACAAAGACTTTAAAAACTGAACTTAGCAAAAGTTTGTACCTTCGATGTGTGAGTTCCTTGGTAAACACTTTAGCCGCCATGAAGTTTGTCTTTTCCCCCTTTTGGCATTATCAAAAGATTGAAAAAAAACATTTTGCTATACTCCCACTAGACTACGTAGGGAATAGTGAGCTCAAATAATGCAAGGCAAAAATAAGTTAGGTACCAAATTATCAGCAAACACACACAATCATATGAAAAATACGAGCCAAGTTCCGATTTAGGAAATAGAAGAGGAACATAGAGAATGTAGCAAAGGATAAAGGCGTACAAACCAAAGTTCAGAGAGATTAAACAAAACCAAAATAAAATTGTTCAACATATGAAATTAGAATAAGTGCAATCAAGGATTTAAGAGGCTGCATTGGTAGGATCAAGGGTTGGATTTGTGGGATCAATAGAGTCTTCCTCGACTTCCTCAAAGGCTACTTTGTTGATAGTTTCCAAGATCTCCTTGTTGCCTTCACTAAACTTGCCTTCAGCCTGTGCAAGCTTTGCCTCCACGCCTGCAAATCCGGTTGCTTGAGATTCTGCCAGAGCCTGCACCTGGCCTTTAAGAGAAAGCAATTCCGAGGCCATTTCCTCCAGTTTCTTGCTCACCAGAGTAGTCAACTTCTCCATATCTGCTTTAACCTGTTGAAAATCATAAACAAACACACGAGTTCCAGAGAAAGCAGCAAAGCCAGTAGGCTGAAATGGAGGAGGAGAAGGTGAATGAGGAGGCTGCCTAGTAGATGAGACAGGAATAGAAGAGGGTTCAATGGCAAAGGGGACTTGGGTAGGTTTGAAGGTGGGATCAGATTTGTCTGAGGAGCTGATGGTTTCTACAGTCACAGGGTGTGTAGTAGAAAGGGCAGGCTTGACCACATTCCTCTTACTTCTTCTAAGGCCCCCTGTAAACACAGGAATGACAGGTGGTCCAGCTGTGCTCTCAGAGTCTGTGGTATGTTCCCCCTCACTTTGATCAGTTCCCTGCCCCTCATGTGAGTCAGATTTTCGAGCTTCCCCCTCAGAAACTTCCTTATGTTCCCCCTCAGAATCTTCCTGTTTTTCTCCTTGCACATCTCCCTCAAGTATTTTTTCTTTGTTTTTCTCTCCGTTAGAACTTTTTTCTTCTTCCTTATCTCCCTCAGAATCACTGGAGGTGGTAGCACCCTCACTAGCAACCTCACTACCCTGGTCACTGCCCTCCTCATCACTTGCGTCACATTCTTCCTCAGCTTCTTTCCCTTTCCCTTTCTTTTTCTCCCCTCCTTTCCGAGGCACAAAACATACTTTGCCATTTGTAAGCCTAAGACTCAGTCTAAGTAATGATTGTTCAGAGAGGATATTATCGGGTTTGAGATATGTTGGGGATTCACATTCAACATCAATACCAAAAGATTTGACCAACACAGTAAGGAAAGAGCCATATGGAATTGTGGTCTTTTGAGCATAAAAATTCAAGTGTTCAATCATTAGAGCAGGGAAATTAATCTGTATTTTGCATGCAAGACAGAATATGAGGGAGGCATCCAAGAGTGATACGGTACTCCGTTTTTGTAAACGGGGTACTATACCCTTCCAGGTGAAGGTAAACAGTAGCTTATGAAGGGGTGTTAGGGCATGATGGTGAGTAGTTTTCACTTTCGGATTTCCTCCAATAAATTGAAGGATTTTGCATTCATCATTATGGCCAATATTTACAGATTGTTTGTGCTTTAAATAAGAACAATAGCCTTTAACAGGAACTTGAAATAGATTTCCAAGATAATTGGCATCAATCGAAATTGGAATATCATTAACTACGGCCGAGCACACACCATTATCACATTGAAAGGTATTTTTGAACTCATAAATAAGTTTAGGATAAACAGGGTAATGAGAACAATTCTGGAACAAGTGAGTCCATTTTTGATAATCAATTAAAGAAGTAAATTCAGTGAACTTACTCGCCACACACCAATCATAGTTGATGTGATATCCGAGAGTGTAATTCCATGATGGGAATTTGGTGGTTGCGCGCCGTTTCCTGTCGCCGCCCTTCACAACCTTAGCCTTCCTCTTTGGCTGAGCAGATGGATGCACCATCGCAATTGGCACCGGTTGTGG